GCTGGAACGCCGTGCGACACACACTGCTGGAACATTGTGCGGAGAAGTCTGCCATTTCCCAGTGATTGAGAGTCAATCTTGGGTGGGGGGGGGGTTGCAGTTCTTGAAAGCAAAGGGATGATGCGATGGTTGGATGGCCCAAGTAACTTTGGGGGCCAGGCTCTTTATCTATCTTCATATCTCTTAAGTCCTCAATTTCTACCAAATAATTTCTTAAAAAAAAAAAAAATCATACGCCTGAGGGCAGAGACCTGGGAGAAAAGCTGGAAGCGAAAACTAAGTATTTCTGTGTGAGTGGAATTTGTAATATGACTGCGTCCCACCATGCAACTGCCAGACTGGACCCCAGAGACACATCAACAGGGTGCCCCCAGAACTGGCCCTGTTCCCTCATTCCCTACTCCCTGAAGGATGTACTCCATCCGACTGTCTCTTCTTTGTTTCCAAAAACCTACCCCCTCCCCACGGTCATTAAAAAGTCTCCACTTGTGCCCTCAGCCCCCAACCTCCAGGGGCCAAGCGACTGGTGAACTGTCCCCCAGCTGGAACCTGTCACACCAGGACTCAGTTCTACCCTCTTCCCTGGTGTCCACAGTGGCCATGATGGGAGCTTCCTCTCCCGGAGCCTGGTCTGCACAGATGTAAAATGGGTGGGTGCTCATTTCAACGAAAATCTGCTCAGTTCTCTTAGGGGTTTGCTTATCTCAGCATCTGTTCTGCCTGCCTCAGAGTTGATGAGACCAAGGATGGTCACCTCAAAACATTTTTTAAAACTACAGAGACCCATAAAAGTGTAACATATAAGTGTGTAAGAACGAACAGTTTCTGGAAATCTTGCAAATGCTAACTATCACGTCACTCTCCTTTCCTGTGACCCCCACATCCCGCTCCCCACTTTACAAACGCCCTTGGGTTCTGCAGACAATCTCACCATGTGCAGCAGGCCGGAGGATCCCATTTTTGCTCCACAACACTCATATTTTAAAATACTGTTCTTTTTAAAAAGCAATTAAGATCTGAGGGCAAAGCATAGGACAAGTATTAGACACTGGCCAGATGTGGAAAATGGCTTCAGGGTCCAAGCGTTTTCCACTGACTCACTGAAGAATTAAACTACCCTACGGAGAAACGCCTCCCCCCCCCCCCCCCCCCCCCCCCCCCCGCCTCCCCCGCTTCAGTCCGTTTCTTGAGAGTCTGACGCCCCCTTGGGTCCCTCCTTGGCAGGCCGCTCAGACGCTCTGGAGGGAAAGCCCTATTTATCTCTCTGAGAGGAACAATTTCGCAGGCTGGGAATGACTCCCGACAAAGACCCTGAAGGAAGCTTTCTGCAAACTCAGCGACCACTAGCAGAGGTCTCCGTCCATGCACTCGGTTTTAAAAGTAAGGACACTAACCGCCCACTTCCTGAATAGTTCGCTCAAAATTTTACAACTTTTGCAGGCTCTTCAGCGGTGCCAGAGGAACTTGGCTCAGCCAAGAAAAGTGGAAACTATTTTTGGCATTCAGAAGGGCAGCTGTAGGACGCTGAATTACAGGCGGCGCCTAAAACGCACGCCTGCCTTTACAGATTTTGAAAATTTCTAATCAAAGTCGTATCGGAACACCTCGAGGCCTGCAGCGAACTCTTGCGGCATTTCGGGCCCTCTGGGGACGGGATTCGGCCTTTGGGGACCGACTGGGGCGGAGGCGGGCGGGTTTCCGGGCCTGCGGGGCCGCCGGAGCGGGCGACACTTTGTAACAAGCCGAGCGCCAAGTATCCGCGAAGTTTGGCACACCCGGATCGCGGTGCGCCTGGGCTAGAGCCCAGAGGGACGAGCCCCGAGCGGAAACAGCTCGGACCCCGGCTCCGTCCAGACCCGAGCTGCCTCAGAACTCGGAGGCCCGCACCGGGCCCCTCCCGGAACCTCGCCGCCAGGCTTGCTCCGGGCTCAGGGAAAGCCCCAGAGAACTGTGCGCCCCGCGGGGCCGGGGACATTCCGCGCCGGAGGCTCCCGGCGCCCCAGGCGGACGCGGGGACTGGGAGGGGCGCTGCCGTGAGTCAGTGAGGGTCCGCGAGGGAGGATCCCCAGAGCGGGGCCAGGGGGTGCCGCTCTCCAGGAGGAGAGGGAGGGAGGGAGGGAAGGAGGGGAAAGGAGCGGGAGGCGGAGGGGGAAGATCCCGGCTGAGCCGAGGAGGGGGAGCCGCGCGCTCCGCGAGGAAACTGCCCAGAGGGGGAGAAAGGGGAGCGGAGGAGGGGAGCCAACAGGAGGGATCCCGGCCGCGCGCGGGGAGCGGGCAGGGCCGTCCGGAGGAGAGCAGGATTTTCCCGGGCTGCTCCCGACCACTTCCCAGTCCAGCGGGGCATTCCCTGCGCCGAACAAAGGCGGCTCAGGAGGCCGCGCGAACTGCGCCCAGGTCCGCCCTCTGCGCCCGGACCACCGCGGACAAAGGGCCGCGGGCCCCTGCCCGGCCCCCGACGCCGCGATCCTCCCCCACCTCCCCTCGTCCATCACCCTCCTGCGCCCCCGCCGCACTCACAGGATGGAGGTCTGCGGCGCCACGGCGGGCACGGCCTCCAGCAGCAGATGCATGCAGCGCACCGTGGTGCGGAAGCACAGGCAGCGGCTCGGGCACCCGGCGCCCGGCTTCGGGGCGACAGAGGCCAGCGCCCCCCAGCCGCAGCACAGCACGAGCGCCAGCAGGCAGAGGCGCGCGGGGCCCGCGGGGCGCAAGGCCATGGCCGACGGCGCGCACGGACGCTCGGGCGCACCGACCAACCGCGAAGGGCCCGGCGCGTCCCCGGCCCGCTCCGGACTGCACCCGCCCGCCCGGCCAGCCAAGGCCCAGGTCCCAGCTGTGTGCGGGGGGCGGGGGGCGCCAGCTGTGCACATGCGCGCGGCTCCTCCCTTCCCACCCCCACCTCCCCAGGGGCCGGGGCGGGGCGAGGACCTCCGGCCGCGGCGTCCGGTCACTGCGCCCCCGTCCCTGCGGCGGGGCTCCCGGGTTGCAGGGGGAAGATGGGGGCCTGGGTTTCAACCCCAGATCTGCACTCACGAGCTGGGGTCTCGGCCAAGTTGCTTCGCCTCGCCTGGCAGCCGTTTCCACATATGTGCGATGGGTTTTTTGTTATTTTATAAAACTCTTTTAGAGAGCTTATTATGTCCCAGGCGCGGTTCCAAGCGGGCACTCTCTGTCTGTCTCGTCTCTCTCTCTGTCTTTCGGTCTCTCTCTGCCTCTCGCTCTCTTTCTGTCTCTCTCCCCTTCCCTTTTTACTCACACACTGCAGCGGGATTTGAGGCAGGCATGCGGGCTGAGACCCCAGAGCCTGTTAACCACTCGCTCTGCCCACTACTGACCACAGGGCACTTTTAGGAGTACGGAAGATCAGGCTGGCGTTCTACCAGGGGCGTGCTTGAAGGCATGCTGGAATGGGACCAGGGGGTACCCCAGTACTTTCCTATTGCTGTGTCAGCACTCTCCTGTAGCTCACACAGTTTCGAGGGTCCACATCTGGGACCAGCTGAATGAGGGGTCTGGCCCCTCTGGAGGCTAAATGTCTGTTGTTGAATTTACCAGCCCTATTACCACGTGGAACAGCTTTCTAGGGACCCAAAACAAGCCATCCAGCGGTCCTACATACTAACCAGTCACAAATCTCCCCCACAGCACACTCCTGGCCTCCACACTCATTTCCAAGTGCCTTCTAGAGGTCTCCCCTTAATGTCTTACACGAATTTCAAGCTTATCATGTCAGAAACCTAAAACATTACTCTTCCTAAAAAATCTATTTTTTCTTCTGAATCACTGCTTTGATCCTCCAAACCACTCTCTCATAACTTCCAACCTGGAAGTTGTCCCTCCCATTTAAGGAGTTGGGAAATCCTGTTAATTCCAGTTGCTCATGGTTGCTCAATCAACTTCAGTCCTTTCTATCCTCCTGCCTCATAACCACTGAGAGTCCGGCCCTCCCCATCACCCCTGGACCAACACTGAGTACCCTTCCTGGCTAGCCTGCCTCCTGTGTCTGCCTGGTCCACCTTCCCCACAGCCGACAGAGAACATGTCACAGCTTCAACTCTGCCACTTCTCTGTCCAAACATCTCTGGGCCCCTCCAGTTTAACTGGGCAAAGGCCATATTTCACTCAACACTAAGAACTTACTGCCACTCCCAGGAGACAGGGGCATCTCTGAGCAGCTGGCTTCTCTTTTCAGTTCGACAGCTATCTCCTAAGCCAGCCGTGATGTTAATTTTATGTGTCCATTGGGCGGGCTATCAAACCTAGTGATTTAATCAAACACCAATCTAGGTGTTGACTGAAGGTGTTTTGTAGATGAGATTAACATTCTTTGACATCTACAATCAGTTGACTTTAAGTAAAGAAGATTACCCTCCATAATGTGAGTGGGCCTCATCCAATCAGTTTAAGGCCTTACAGGCAAATACCAAAGTTTCTCAGAGAAGAAATTCTGCCTCAAGATTGCAGCATCAGCTCGCACCTGCGTTTCCAGTCTGCTGGACTGCCCCACAGATTTTGGACTTGTCAGCCCACACAATCGCACAAGCCAATTCCTTAAAATCTATCTGTGTTTTTATTCTTCCATCTATCCATCCATCCATCCTTCCTCCCTTCCATAAATCTGTCTTTTTTTCCATCCATCCATCCATCCATCCTTCCTTCTTTCCATCCATCTATCCATCCATTCATCCATCCTTCCTTCGATCCATCTGTCCATCTATCCATCCATTCATCCATCCTTCCTTCCTTCCTTCCATCCTTCTATCCATCTATCCATCCATCCATCCTTCCTTCCTTCTTTCCATCCATCTATCCATCCATTCATCCATCCTTCCTTCCATCCATCTGTCCATCTATCCTTCCATCCATCCATCCTTCCTTCCTTCCTTCCATCCGTCTATCCATGCATCCATCCCTCCTTCCATCCTTCTATCCATCTATCCATCCATCCATCCATCCATCCTTCCTTCCTTCCTTCCTTCCATCCATCTGTCCATCTATCCATCCTTCCATCCATCTATCCTTCCCTCCCTCCTTCCTTCCTTCCATCAATCTGTCTTTCTTTCCATCCATCCATCCATCTGTCCTATTGTGCTGTTTCTCTGAAGACCCCTGACTGACACACACCTGTTTGCAGAGCACTGGATGAGGAAGTGTGGTGGAAGTGGGAGGCCAGGATAATGATTTAGCCTAAAGAATTTACATTTGAGTAATGAAGCTCTTCCTTATTTTAAGCTAAATGTGCTTCCCATATCTTTTGTTCATTATTTCCTGCTTCTGCCCTCAGAGGCCACGGACCCTCACACCTCCAGGATCTCGACCTCCCAGGGGGTGAATTGTTTAAGGATGATCAAAGCCACTGAACTTTTCTACTGCCATGCACCCAGGTGAAATATCCCCATTTCCCTCTGATGACCAATTTCCAGATCTTGTTGTTTGCCCCAAATCTTGTTATATGTCACACAGCAAACATTCCTTTCGGGGGGATTGTGCTAATGGACAATCTTTAGTTGTTTAGGTTTCCATACACAGAAGCAAAGATTAATGAGTGAAAGATGCTCCTTAACTTCCATCCTCTGTGTTTTGTGAATGCTGTCACTGAGTTCTACAGCATACCAGGTGCGACCCTGGACACACATGGAAACAATCTCTACTCCTGGTCGAGTACTGGCCTCTGTGGCAAGGATTCCCCACGACTACCTTTGTACAGACGCCTTAGGATCTGAGCCTCGCAACGTCCCTCACAGAAGGTATTATTATCCCCATTCTTCAGAAGAAAAAACCAGTGTTCAGAGATTTCGGTAATTTGCCCATGCACTTGTAGATAATCAAGGGAAGGATGGAAGAAGGGAGGGAAGCAGGGAGGAGAAAGGAAGATGGTGCTGACTCAGCATTCGCAGTGTGCCAGGCACTGACCTGTGTGCTTCGCCTATTGCAGTGGATACTGGTGGCCACCCTCCCAGACCTCGCTGGGGGGCTGCACCCCATCCCAGTCACTGCTGATGTTCTCTGGAAAACTGCCTAGGGCTCCCAGGAGCCTTGTCCCAGAAATGCTGGGAGCTCTTCCCCTCCTGACGCAGCCCGCAGCCAAAGGCGGACTGAGTTGGGGCTGCCTCACCTGGAGGTTGAACAGCTGGCGAGCTTCCTGGGGCATCAGGTCGATGGCCAGCTTCTCACCCTGTGCAGTCGGCTGCCCTCACTCCCAAGAGCCCCCCTTACTCATCAGGCTCTGCTTTGGGGCCCCAACCTAATAGTGCATCCATGACGTTAGCGCCCACAGTGTCCCCCAAAGCACACAGTCTGTCTTTTCTACAACCTCTTCGCGGTGCAGTGATGTCATCTGTCTGCCTGTCTGTCTCCCCACTAGACTGAACACTCTTCAACGATTTATACAGAAAAGAACAGGGGTTTTGGAACAAGACAAAACTAGGAGGCAGGCTCACCAATTCCGTGACCCTGGGCAACTTTCTTACTCTCTCCCTCGGCCTCAGTTTCCCCATCTGTAAAATGAGGACTCCAGCTCCTACTCACAGGCTGTTGTAAGGATTAAATGAGGAAGTGTATGAGGTGCCCACATAGTTCTCGTCAATAAACTTGAGTGGAATGAAGCTTCCCAGGGCCCAGGGGGGCCCCCCCGGAGTCTAGAAGGCCATGGGGTCATTCCCAGACGATGAGTCAGCCCCTCTCGGAACCTAGCAAGGCCTGAGACAAAGATTTCAGCCTGCAACCTTCACCCTCATCCAACGAACCCTTCTGAGTGCCTCCTGCATGCTCAGCCCCATCCCACAGCGCTGGGCAGCCCACAGGAACAGAGGGCCCGGCACCTGGCCCGGGCAGACAGCTGAGATGGTGAGTGACTCCCCGAGCCAGGCGCCTAGACGGCTGCAACAGAGCACCACAGACTGGGCACCACGAGCAGCAGAAGCCTGTTCCCCCACAGTTCTGGAGGCCCGAGGTCCAAGATCAAGGTGCTGGCAAGAATGGGTCCCTCTGCAGGCTCACAGTGAGAGTTTGTCCCAGGCTCCTCTCCAGCTTCTGGTGACAGTCAGCAACCCCTGGCATTCCCTGGCTCGTAGTCACATCCCTCCAACCCCTGCCTCCATCCTTACATGGCATTCCGCTGCATCTGTCCTCATGTGGTGTCTTCCTTTTGTGACAATCATATTGGCCCAGAGCCCATCCCAATGACCTCATCCTGACTTGACTACATCTGCAACAACCCTATTTCCAGATAAGGTCACATTCTGAGCTCCCAGGAAGACACAGATTCTGGGGACAGAAATAACATGGCAGGGCAGTATTAAGCTCTGAAACTGTGACCTGGAGTCATAGTAAAGGGCCTGCCTACCTCATGGGCTGTTGCAAGGCTCGCGTGAGGAAGCGGAGAGTGGTTCCCAGCAAGCTCTGGGTTAGTGTTGGCTCCACGATAAAGAGCTGCAGGCGGTGAACAGCAGGATGGTGTTGGGCTCCACCCCCCGGAGGCAATGGGAGGTGTCTATGGGCCAGAAAACAGCTTGCTGTCCGCACTTTAGCCACATACACTTGGAATTCTACAATTTAATGCTAACTGTGGAGAATCAGTCCTTCTTTATCCATCCGTCTCTCCATCCTTCCCACTCACAGACTTAGGCATCTAATTGTTGCCAACATGGTAAAGAAGAGAGAAATCCTAAAACGCGCCTCTCAGTCAGAGAACCATGTCCCCATTGCTCCTGTGCCTGCAGAATATTTACGTAAATTCCTTTAGTTACACAACGAGCTTAGATTCATGGTTTTCTCAGATCTCAAGGGTTTCCCTGTGCCCGGATGAAAAGTCAGGCAGCAGAAGGCATGTCCGAGAGGGTGGTGGGGCTGAGAAATGCTCTTCCCAGTCACAGGCCCTGGGCACAGCCTGAGGTCCCCCAGCCCACCCACTGATGCTTGTGCGGAGTCCTGGGGCCTGCAGGGAGGCTGCAGGAAGCAGGGAGCCCAAATCCACGAGACAGGTGTTGTGTCTCACTCCCGCTCACGGCCCTGGTGTCAGTCAGGTCCAAGCAGGACTTAGGTGTACACTCGTAGTGTTGAGCAGAGGAGAGGTCAACTGAGTGACAGTCTCAGAGGTGGGTGAGCTGAAGGCACCTGAAAGGACCAGGGGATCCATCCAGGATTCCCCCTGCACATTTGCACCACTCCAAGGCCTGGGAAGGGGGGGGAGGAACGAGTAACCCAGCCTGGCAAGCCCTGTAACTCCACCCCACTGGGGCAGACAGGGGGTCTTGATGACTCCCCATTCAGAGGTGGGTCCCCAGGATGGCGGCGTGAGGGCAGAGACGGATCAAGAGGAGAATGTGAGCACTACATTGGCTCAGCATCGACTCCAGCTGGTGAACGGGCCCCCATGAGAAACCCACAGTCTGGGGAAACACAGGCTTATAAATAAGCCTCCTGGATAGCAGGTGGTCATTAAGCAATGGGTCCACAGCCAGAAGGGAACAGCAAATAACTCAAAATCATGGTAGATCACTTCTCTATATACACCCTGAGTCCCACTGTGGGAATTTCTCCCCACCCCTCTGTCCTGGCGCCCCCTGCCCTCTTTGGGCACCTGAAGCTCCTGTCCCCCCACCCCACCAGGTGAAAACAGAGGATGTTGGTCTATTGGTCACAGGGATGTGTGGAGTGACTGGCTGTTCCACGCTGAGCTGAAGGCTAATGGGTGAGATGCGTCCCTGCCTTGTGGACACCAATGGGAAAAGTAAGCGTGTGCATGTGTGTGCACTCTGCACACACACAAGGAAAATGCCCCTGAGCTAAAGGGAATTCCGGGGAAAGCACCAGGCCGGGAGAGACCACACGCCCCGGCTACACGAGGGATGATGTCCCAGCAAGGCGAGACAGCTGCAGAGGCTTTTGCAGTAAGATTGGAAAAGTGAGCGGCCTGCTGCCATAGAAGGAACAGGCCCCTGAGGAGCCTGTCAAGTAAGGAATACCAGAGCCCCAGCCCCCGGCGCAGCAAAGCTGCTTGCTTAGGAACCCTTTAAGCCGATCTTTTATCCTTACCAATTTTGTGTTTTCTGGGTTTAGTAAACACTCACTCAGACTCCATCCAAGACTTTTAATACTCATCCCTCAACGTGTACATAGAAAGTCACCCAGTCTGGCACTTCTGAGCTTTCCCAGACTTCTGGGACTAAGTCATGGGATCGGCTGTCCAGACGACACAGGACCTCTTCCTGGGAGGAGGGCATCCGCCTTCATGGGCAAGGCAGAAAGCTTAGGTAAACTGAGCCATGAAGAACACGGAAAAGCCCACTTCTCCTCTAGAGTGAGTTATTTCTGTAAAATGCAGAAGTCTCTGCCCACAGCTTGGAGGGCACTGCTCTGGCACTCCAGCCCTCCGGGGTAGGCTGGGTCAGGGCGCTGACGAGTGCCTACCTTGAATTTTGGCAAACCTCTTGCTCCCCAGCCAAAAGTGTCCCATACATGCTAAGCATGCTTGGCTAACGGGTGAAATCATTGTGAGGTGCTGCCAAAAATGCCCTGTAATCCTGTGTAATAAGTTAATCACTTTGGGAACAACACTGTGGGCCCGCTGGCCAGTCCGACTGCAGCCAGAGTGGCTGCGGGCTCAGCCAGCCCAGGTGCAGCCCCCGATGGATGCCTCCTGATCTGTCTGGAGCCTTTGCACAGAGTCGCTGCAGACACGGCTCACGTTACCTGGCAGCATTTACCCAGCAGCCAAAGAACGTCAACCACAGGACCTGAAACTCAGCCCTTGGATGTGTTTTCCATCCCCGGTTATACAACTAATGAGTTTGTCTTAGGAGCAATTCCAGGACCCTCCTTTGTAAACTCAATACGACTTCAAAGGAGTCTCTGACCAGGTATGGCCGTGTGTCTGAGCTCTGCTTCAAAGGCTCCCCTCCGCCCTGCAGCCAGGCCTCCAAGCTTCTTGCCTGGTGACTGCCAGAAGGGGCCCAGGGCAGGGGCAGAGACGGGAGCCCCTCCCTCCCTCTGACCCCGCCTCAGGGGCTGCCCCGCTCACAGACCGCGGAGCCTGACTCGCTGCTCGGAGCTGTGGAGGCACGCGGCCCAACGGCTGTCTGAGGGTTCCGGGGTAGCGGGGAGCCGCGCTCCGGCGGGATGGGCAGGGCCTGGACCCAGACAGGGGTGGTTCCAAATCCAGCTCCACGTTCCTGACTGCCCGAGTTTGGACACACTGACCTCTCAGAGCCTCCGAATCCTGATTCGTGAGGTGGGAGTCACCTCCCCCAGGACTGCCATAGGGCTAAAACGATTACGCTTCTCATTGGGTTGGCACTGCAGACAAGGGTCCTCGGTACGAGTGTTCCACTCTGCCAGCCTGCCCTTTCCTCAGAGATCAAACCCTCCTCCTCAGCTGAGGTCTCACGTGCGCAAAGTGACTTCACCTCCACACTCCAGACTCTCGACCAGAGGGTCACTTAATCGTCTCGATGAACCCGTAAAGGCAGCCACCAGGATTATCAGTGACATTTCCTTCCTCGGTCCGCAGTAGTTTTCCTAATATGGAAATTTGTGATTTCTTACCCAAACCACACTCCACACCACAAGGCAATAAAACCGTGGTCGGAGAGACATAAATACTGTTCTTGGACTTAATAATGTCCTTCCCTTCGGCAGGGTCACAGCTGGCAGGACGATCCCCTCGACCTGGGCTTCCCACCTCGCAGGAGCCCCAGACCAGCCTGAGCCAGCACTGGAGCTCACACAGGGCGAGGAGGACCGAAGGCTGTGCCGTGGCTCCCACTTTAGGAAGCAGAGTGGCCAGATCCTGATGGAGACCCTGCAAATGCCAGTCTGTGTGTTAACCAAACAGTTTGTCTTGTTTTTCTTTCTGATAATTTTGTCTTCGGAGCCATGTGGGGTTGGCGGCTGTATTGTGAGAAAATACCACATGAAATACTGGACGGAAAATGGTGGAAACAAGGGCATTCGTTAGAAAGCTTTCTTTGCCAAGGTTCAGCTTTCCTTCTTGGCCTCTGAATCTCTGACTTTGATACTCATGGCACAAATCATGAGTTCAAGCTTTTCTGTTGTTTCTGTTGTTGAGAGAACCAAAGACTCAGAATTGTTGATTTTATTTTGATTTCTCAACTCACTTCTTGTGGATCTCAGCAATGGTTTGTTTAAAACTATTTCTGTGACCATTGTACCCACCGTGTTCAGCTGCTGATTGCAGACTGAACAAATGCTGGGGCTGACCCGGGGTCTTCACTGACTCGACGAGTTTCCCTGGAGAGGTGCTCTCATGGGATTACAGCCTGGCAGCCTGCTATGGGTTGAGTTGTGTCCCCCAGAAAGACACATTGAAGTCCTACGTCCCAGTATCTGAGAATGTGTCACTATTTGAAACTAGGATTGTTGAGATGTAATTAGTCAGGAGTCAGGTGGGACCTTGATCCAATGTCTCTAGCTTAGGGCAAGTCTTCTCTTGCAAAAAAAAAAAGTAATACAAAAAAGAGGGAAGATGATGTGAACAACGATACACAGAGAATGGCCACGTGATGATGGAGACAGAGATTGGAGTGATGCATCTACAAACTAGAGAACCCCAAAGATTCCTGGCCACACTGGTAGCTGGAAGAGGCCAGAAGGATCCACCTCTAGAGCCTTCAGAGGGAGCACGACCCTACTGACACCTTGACCTTGAATTTCCGTCCTCCAGAACTGAGAGAGAATAAGTTTCTGTTGTGTGGAGTCACCCAGTTTGGGGTACTTTGTCACGGCAGCCACAGGAACTCATACACAGCACATAGGGCTGTTCAAGGTCTGGAGACCCCCCAGGGCCTGGCGGTGTGTCTGGCAGAGAAATAAGTGTGATCAGAGTCTTATTCACAGGCCTTCTCAGGAGGACGGGCCTGGTGGTGTCCCCAAGCCGGGGGACATCTGGCTCGCCTGGGAGATGAGCTAGGACTTCCCGTGGGGTCTCCCCTCAACTCGGCTCTGCACCTTTTCCTGCTGATGATTTAATGATTTAATCTGTGTCCTTTCACTGTAACAAACCTTAACTGTGAACACAGCAGCTTTTCTGCGTTCTGTGAATCATTGAACTTAGAAGTGATCTTGGGGCCCCCGAGCTGCAGGGGCAGGATCTGGGACGTTAGGGAGGCCTACCCCTGGCTTTTGTCAGGCCTAGAGCAAGCACACAAGTGGAGACTCCATCCGGGGCCTGCTTTGTCCACCTGGCTTGTAGTGGGATGTTCCCTCCTGGCCTATCATCCAGGCTTCATCACAGTGCCCCCCACCTGTAACAGCCCCCTTGGGCCTAGGGTGCATGCACGGGCCCTGGAGGTGAGCATGGCATCCTTTGGGAAGGAGATTCCAGAGTTCTTAGAACATGGGTGGGCATGGAATCCAGGCAAGCATGTTCCTTGACCTGTGACCCCGTGCACCTTGGAGGAGGGTGCAGCCTGTGTGGAGCCAGGGCACTGCCCTATCGAGGGCAGGAGTCTTGGGGCCGAGGGCCGGGGCAATGCTGACCGGAGGCATAAATGTTCCTAAAGGATCCTGAGGGCACAGACTACATGGACAGCCAGAGCCTGACTTCATGCGCTTCCCAAATGCAGGCCGGTGATGACTTACACCAACCCCGTAGTGGCCAGGGTGGGTGGGGCTCAGCCAGGGTCAGCCCCTTCTTTTTCTAGGGGTCAATTCGTTACTCACCTTGGTTCTAGATCCTGTCATTCATTAGGCATTCCTTCAAAACCTCAAAGCGTTTCCAGCTTGATAAACTAGGGGATTGATAAATTCAGGCTCTTTCACCCCCTGTCTAAAGTATGACCATACACAGTTAGGGGTGGCCATTCCACTTGCATTGTGTTGAATTGTGTCCCCAAAAGACAAGTTGAAGGCCTAACTAGGGAACCTATGAAGGTGACCGTTTTAGGAAATAGGGTCTTTACAGACGTGCTCAAGTCAAGATGAGGTCTTTGGGGTGGACCCTGACCCACCGTGACTGGGGTCCTTATAAGACGAGGAGACACATGGAGATGAGAACACCATGTGAGGACAGACACGGAAGGAGGACGGCATGTGAAGGTGAGGCAGAGACTGGAGTGATGCAGCCACAAGCCAAGGGACCCCTGGGGCACCAGAGGTGGAGGAGGCGGGAAAGTCCTCCCCTGGAAGCGTTGGAGGGGCAGCAGCCCTGCCCACACCTGCATTTCAGGTTTCTGCCTCCAGAACTGTAAGAGAATAAATTTCTGTGGTTTTCAGCTGCCCAGTCTGCGGTTCTTTGTTCTTTGGGAAACCCTTATGCCACTAATGGTAACTCTGTGCCCTGTTGGAGAAAGTGTTGGGGAACGTACGATTATTCGAGGCCTGCCTCCACTTTGTGCTGGCCGTCGGCTCTGTGACCAGGATTTGATCACGGACGAAGCTGCTGGACAGCCGTCACCTAAAGCAGCATACGCAGACACACAGACTCACACACTTGTCTTCTGTCTCTATCTCCAGAGCAGCACACAGGTATGTGTTTCATCCCCTTCCTCTTTTGTTTCTTTTTGCTGAGGAAGACTTGCCCTGAGCTAACATCTGTACCAATCTTCCTCTATTTTGCACGTGGGTTGCCGCCACAGGGTGGCTGCCAATGAGTGGTGTAGGTCCACGCCCAGAAACCCAACCAGGCTGCCGAAGCGGAGTATGCCAAACTCAACCACCAGGCCACGGGGCCGGCCTCTGGTCCCCTTCCTCTCTGAAGGACTGTGGGAAACCTCCCACTGCAGAATAAAGCACAACCACAGCACGTGGTGTCATCTCATTGTCACCAGCTAGAAGGCAGCTTCATAGATAAAGGGGATAAGGGGCAGTTCTTCCAAGGTAAAGCCACTCGCTTTGACAAATACGCCCTGGGGTTTAGTCGTAACCCCACGTGGCAGGTTTCCTGCACCCCTTCATCTGGAAGCTTAGATTGGGAAGCTACAATACGTCACAGGAGACAGAGAAGGGCTCTTTTTTTAATTTAAATTTTGAAGATGAAGCAGATGATGAAATATACCACTTACAGCTGTTTTAGACTAAAATTAACATACCTGTATGTGTGGCTTAGCCTTGCAAGGCTTTAATCACCTGTTACCTTGAGTTAGAGTTGATGTAAGTAAGTCTGGGGCTCGGCCCTAGGCAGTTCCTCACGAGGTCTCTGCAGTGTGAGGGTTCCACCGGGCCCACGTCCTCAGGAGGCTCCTCAGTTCTCAGACAGTCCCTTGTCCACACGCAACCTGCCGGCCAGCCAGGTACAGGCCAGGCATTACACCAACAGCACGTCACTGCCCTCCAGGGCCGGGTGAAGGATGCCTGGGGTAGGCACTCGAGTACTGGGCCCCACTGCCTTTCAGGGCGGGGTGAGGGACGCTGGCACTAGTACCTGGCAAAAGTCAACTGGTCGATCTGAATGGGCTGGGTCTTGGTTGCCTTCAGCTCAAAATAATCCACATGCCAAAGTGGCAAATTTTGGGGGGATGTATTCTACTCCCCTTCATCTGCCTAAAAACAGGTCCTCCAAAAGGATCTCCATTGTCATCAATCCCTTCCTGGGCGTTTCACCAACAGGGAGGATTGACTGTTGACAGGACAGGAGACTAAAGGCACACCACACCCTGACAAGTGTCACAAACTGTCACGCCCCCCCCTTCTGTTCTTCTAAGGGCCCATCATCTTCCTAAAAAACATTGACCCTCTCTACAAGGCCCGCATTCTCTCCTCCCCTCATGAAGAGGATGTATTAACTCTCAAAACTCACCAATTTGGGGGGGCGTCCATATTTTTCCTGTGATGCCCCCCGATGTAATATTAAAAGTTAAGAAATGTGTGTACCTTTTCTCCTGTTAACTTTCCTGTTGTTGGTTTATTTCAAAGCCCCAGCTGTCAACCTGGGAGGATGGGGGACAGTGTTTCCTCCCCCACAGCATTAAGCCAGGACGTGATGGCATCTCAGGAAACCTGCTAAGAGATCACAAAGTCGTGAAATCTCAGTTTTTATAGAGCCAAGTGGATACAACCTACTACAGTTTGGAGACAGGTGACAAGGAAGGCTCATCTCCCAGGAAACCGGAAGGTGGGTGCCATGTCCTTGATGATCACATTTCAAAGATATGCTTTCAGAAGCTTGAGGAAACTTTGCTGAGTCTGAGATGGGCGGAGGCTTATTTTAGACACTAAAAAGATTTACATACATTTGAAAAGGACAGAGAAAGACTTTCTGAGAGAAAAGAGAAATGGGACGTTGCTTCCCCCATCTTCCACAGGGAGAATTAAGCCTCTAGTTTTCAATGTGCATTTGTCCTCCCACTGAGAGCTGTTGAAGTTCATAGATGGGGCTGAGACCCCAGAGTGATCTGCCTGGGTCGTTTACACTTCCAACCAGGCAGATCCAGCCTTGCTCTCCCTTTCACCTGCACCTGGGGAGAACTCTGGTCTTGGGGTGGAATGCACTGTACCCCTCCTTGTTCCACCACCTAAAGAATGTTCCAGAAAGAATGACAAGTGTGGGAAGCACTTATGAGCTGTGGATGGGGAACACCTGAGGGGGGACAGTATCTAGGGTGACCCCAAAGGCCTGAAAGTGGAACCAAGGCCTGTGTATGTAAAGATGGTACCCAGGGTCTGCCACGTCAGTTGGCTTTCATGCCTTGTTGTTTGAGAAAAACCTTAATAGGCTCTCAGTAGATGAGCCCAAGGATCCGTGTCCCAGGGCCACTGTCTGCTGCAAAGAACCAGTGATAAAGTAGAATTTCTCTGGCTTCTCCTTAAATATTACTTTCCTAGGCTCACCTTCAGAGTGAGTATTGACCCTGCTCATTTCAGGATTCCTCCTCCATAGAGTAGGAAAGATAATTTTCCCTCTGCCCTTCTGTGTTCTTGCCTGGGCCCCCATAACAAAAGACAGATGAACAAGAGAAAAACAGAAGTTTATCAACAAGCGTACTTCATGTACAGCCAGCCCCAGTGGTCCAGTGGTTAAGATCCAATGCTCTCATAGCCCGGGCATGGGTGCATTTCCCCGTCAGGGAACTGATGAGGATTATTTTGGGCTGGTTACTTTTAAAAACTGCAGACGGGAAGGAGGCTCTGAGGAGTGGAATTTGCTTGCCCTTTGATGAGAGACATTTGCATTTGTGAAGGAAGTCTCCATCTGTGGGGGTGTCTCCCTCTCTGCACCAGGAGGAAGGAGGGATGACCTTATCTCTAGAAACTCTTAATGGGGAAGCATAGGACATCCTGACTTAATCTGGTCTAATTCATATCTAAAGTTAGAGGACCACCCAATAACCAAACCCCACCTGCACTGATACCATTTTAACGACTTTTTTACATATTCTTTCCTTTGTCTTGTAAAGAGATAACTCACATACCTATGCCTTATAAATTTAGCCCTGCCCTCAACCCATGTTTGCAGCAGCTCTTCTTGCCTGTGGGTCCTATCCCCATGCCTGCAGCAGCTCTTTACTGCCCATGGGTCCGACTGTCCCCATGCTATTCCACACTGTTCTCTAAATAAAAGAGCACTACTGCCAGACCTTGAGAGTCCAAGAAATCTTTCTTTCGACGACTCTGCTCACTGAGCCCGCATCAGGAACCACACCACCTATCCATCAGTTGTCATACTGTATGTTGTGACGTTGAAAGCTCTGTCACTGGAATCGACAC